TCACATCTTCGGGGCTCCCCGTACACATGAAATTAAATTTGCTCTTCTCCTGTTCATCTCTCTTGTATTACAGGGCCTGTCTTCAATCAAGAATCTAGAAAGGTCGAGGGGAATTCATTGTTCCTCTCCATCCTACCTTTCTGGACAAACACCAATGCAGCATATCCCGTCATCACAGAGAACTCTACTGCAGAGTACTATTCTAGAATTTAGTCTGAATCTAACTTATCATGTGGCTCATTTATGCAGTCAATTACACTTAACTGAGCACTTATTAGGAGCAAATAGCAAACTAAGCGCTAAATGTAATTGGTGACAATAGCAAAGACAGTAACAGAAAATACATGCCTAGTGCCTACTATATACCAGGTATTATTCTATAAGCTTTGTATATATAAATTAATTTCATCCCCATAGTAGCCACATTAAAAAGATAACATTATCACCCCCACTTTACGTATGGGGAAACTAAGGCACAGAGAGATTTAAGAAACTTGCCGATGGCCATACAGCTGGTGAGATGGGGAGTCAGAATTCAAATCCAAGCCCTGCAAAATGGACTTTCACAAAGGGAGAGCTGGAAAAGATTATAGAGAGCCCCCACCTCTGCTCCCCAGAAGGCCCCCTTTCTTGGCAGTCTGACCGACAGGCTTGCTCAGTGGCACAGCCAGCAAGTGGCACAGGCCAGATAACAGCTCTGCCTCTTGCGGGGTGAGCTGTTCTTAACTCCTACGTGGGTCAAAGGAGTGCTGCACAGGAAACAAGGTCCAGGCTGGAAAATTCCTCTCACACTGTAACAGATGAGGGCTCTCTGCATTCAAACGGCCTTGCTCGCGGGGAACTCCACCTATTCTGTAACAATTCCTGGACACACGGCAGAGAAAGTGCAGAGCTGGGCAGGGCCCTTCAGGGACCTCTGGGCTCTATGACTCTGCAGTCAGCTGGGTTTGGGGGCGCTTTTCTCCAAAGAGCGACTCAAACTTCTCTCCCAGTGATCCCATGACTCAGTGAGGTGGGCTGGTAGGGGGGACCCTAAGCAGCCCCAGGGCTCAATTGACCCCACTCGCTTCCAGAAACTGTCATCTTATTGAAGAACCGTGGAGAGCCTCACCGATCCTATTCCCTCATTTGTGAAACGGTAATAAGAATGACTTTTGGCTGTTGTGGGATTTAGAAATTTTATCCTACAAGCATCAAAGGGGCAAAGATGGGGGCAGCATCTCCTTTTCATATCATACCTGGACACTGTTTAACTTAACTATCTAGGGCAGGGGTCAGCACACTATGGCCCTTGGGCCAAACCCCAACCTCTACCTGTTTTTGTAAGTAGAGCTGCCTTAGGAACCCCTGCCACCTGCTCTCCAGCTCTGAAAGCAGAGTTGCAGAGCTGTGACAAGGACAGAGACGTATGGCTTGCAAAGCCTGACATATTTACCATCTGGCTCTTAACAGCTCAGCCCAACCTGGTCTACAGGAATACACCTGGGCTTAATTTTGCCATTTCCTACATATTAAGGGTTCGGAATGTGAAGCTGCATGTTTACTTGCAGATTTTTGCATGGTAGATAAGATAACCCCGGAAGATATCGTCCTTTGCACTGGACAACATTCACTGATTTGGCTCCTAACTGTCGCAGATTGGGTTCCCCAGGAGGCAGCCTCTGAAACAGCAACACTGCTGCTGCAAGGTTATGAAGGAGGGCTCCTGGGGTTGAGGCCTGCAGAGGGGAGGGCACGAAGCAGGACAGGGTGGAGAGGAGAGGAGAGGAGGTAAGCTGTGACAGAAGGGCAGTTCTGAAGATAGGATGACCCTCTAGGGACGCAAGCAGCAGTGGGCAGGCCAGCCTTTATTCCCACTCACGGACCCCACCTCAGGTGCAAGCTGCCTGGGAGGGGGCATGACTTGAGACCAGGTGTCTCTTTCCAACCAAGGCAATCTCTGAAGGCAACTGAGATCCACACAGGTTCAGAATAAGCCTCCCCAAAATGTGCCTCTTTGGTATGTGGATTATTTTGGGCTGAAGGGATGGCACATAAGCCTCACCTGCCAGACTGTCTTTGAGACACTCACGTTTTCTGGAACTCCCAGACAAATAAAATTAATTTCTTTTTTCTGTTAACCTCTCTTATGTCAATTTAATTAATAGACCAGCCAAAAGAACCTAGAAGGGTGGAAGGAAATTTATTCCTCCCCTACAGGGCTTTCTGCTGGCAGCACTCCCAGAAGCCGGGATACCTCAGAGCTGACCCAAATGGTACCTCACCACTTCCCCACATTTACCTAATGATTTTCTTCTATGGTGTCTTCCTTTCAGATGCCTATAAATATTCAGTCCCTCCAATGCTCTGAGTCACCTTTACCAACCTACTGGCTCCCTTGTTAATGAGTTAAATAAAATTTTTGATGCAGGTTCACTCTGGAATTGTATGAGGGGCATGGTCTCCCCTTTTTCATTTATTTTTTGGACAGAATGCACACGTTCCATGGCAATTATTGTAATGATGTTATAGATACAATAATGGAGAAAGCCGTCACTGAAAACAAATAGGAAGTTCACACCCAGTCAGCCTTCTTTCCTACATTCCTTCCGAGCATTCCAGCTACGACACAACAGGCACTAGAGAGTTCAGGACAGCAGAGAACTCACTGCGTTCATAGGCCAGCCTGAATGGTGAGCTGGAGGGGGCGAGGGGGCTGCCCAGACCAGAGAATACTGGAAAGGGGCCAAACGGGGAACCTGGGGCTGAATTGAATCTGCCTTTGGATTCGGTACATCAGAGCCTTTATTTGGCTTGTGCTATGGGGGACAGACAGCATTTTCTGGGGAATCTAGTTAAGTCTGTTTGCTTAAGGAAGTAAAAAGGTAGATACAGCATCTTGAACACCCTTGCTTTAAAATGCACATAGGAATAAGAATGTCAAGGCCACACCAAGAGGGATAAAGTCCTGGGGAAGCCACTGAGAGGCTCCATGGCTGCTGGTGAGGCTTCAGGCAATCCTGAATAGGTGTCAAGGTCTCTGCAAGGAGGTGGTTCACAGGCAGCTCAGGGAAAAACCAAGGTGTAACACATGCTCCCTGCAAACAGAGCACATGGCCATGAGTAGGGGCAGCATGCAACCTACTCAGAAGTACAACAAAACAATGGAAATGGATGGATGAAGTGATGGAGAGATGGATAATTAATTATGTGATCAAGTAAATATAGCAAGATGTTAATTGTAGAATCAGCCCAGTGGGTATATGGGTATTGACTGGATAATGCAAATTTTATGTGTTTGAAATATTTCATAATGAAATATTGGGGGAATGACTATTGACAGAAGAGAAGGAGCAAAAGATAAAGTCAATACTAATATATTCCACATGTTCAATGTGTGTGTACTTAAAAAATATATTTACATGCATGCCTATATTTATGTATATATAGTCATAAATTAATAAAACACAAATATATGCAGAGTATTGGGAATGTAGACAAAGGGAGAGACTCAATCTGGGTTTGTGTTTTGTTCTAGCAAGAAATTACCACCACAATGTTTCCTAGGTGGCAAAACTCAGGGAACTGTCGACTATTTTCTCTTAGAGGAATTTATTCTTAAATGTAACAGGAAGTTGCTCAGGGAAAATGGTATTTATGAATATCATAAAATAACAGCAATTCTGAATGATGTAATGAATCCATTCATGCAACCTACAAGGGAAAAGGAGCAAAATTCAAATACCACATGTTTACCTTAACTGCCTGACGATGCACCTGGGCTAATGGCCTAAATGGACATGTAGAAAGCAAGGCTCACCCTATTGTTACACAGACTGGAGAGAGCAGAATCTAGGTGTAAATAATTATGCCATATTTGACATAAGTGAATAGCAGTCACAATCAAAATAAGCCCACCTTAGAGTTTCTAGGCTGGTAAATTCACAGAACAAGCCAGCACTGTGTTGACAAGGTGCAGAGCCCCAGACAAGGCACGGAGACCTGGAACAAGGCGTGTGGCCGAGTCTTAAACACACATCCTGCCATTCAGTGCCAGTCACCAAGATATCCCTTCGGTGTGAGAAGCCGTGTGAGTTCAGGACTAGAGAACCCAGGGAAATTTGGGGGCTGGGAAAAGGGCTGAGCAATGAGGTACAGCCTCAGGGAAGATAATCAGAATATGGTGCTTCAAAACCCACAAAGTGCTACAAAGGCACTTTGGACCCAATAAGGCCACCTAGAGTCCTTCCTCGGTGACAGTATAAAATGCACTTTTATCTAAGGAGCTCGTGTCTCCCATGTTACACACTCAGTCAAGGAATAATCAAGTTTGCTGCATGGAGAAGCAGCAATGTCCACTTCGCTGGAATGCATGCATTTATTCTGGAATAGTAAGCGCTCAAATATGACCTATTACTACTATTAATACCAGCATTTTTTCCTGAGCACTTGCTGTGGAGCAGGTCCTGTGTTAGCACTTGTACAGATTCAACCTTGTAATCCTCATATACCCCTATGAGAGAAGGGCCGTCACTAACCCCATTCTGCAGATAAAGACATTGAGATTTCTTATGCCTAAGGCCATCCAGTAGGAGGTGGACTGGAATGCAGGCAGTGTGATGACCACATCACACTAAACAGCAGAGTTCTGCTCCACCCCTCACAGGTATGCATATGTCATCTACGCAAGGGCACAACTGTAACTGAGTAGCGAAAAGCAAACAGCAAGAGCACGTCTGTCTACAAGGGCCAACCACACACACACTGAGATGCTATGAGAGTCAGGAGCCCACCCTGATTCAAGAGGCCAGTCCCGGAACCACGCCCCGTTCAGATGGCACTGCCACCCGGCTCTCAGGCAGGGGACTGTGGAGTTCCAGAAGTACTGATATAATGAGTCCATTCATGCAACCTACAAGGGAAAAGGAGCAAAATTTGCCTTCACTTTGCAGCAGCAGGAAAGTGGGTGATATTCTCAAGTTGGCTTAATGCAACTGAACCACAAACAAGGGCATAATTAAAGCACTTTTACTTTTATTTAAGAGTATCTGAAAACTGCAAAACACAGCTCACTGCATGGACTGAGGCAGCGTGTCTTGAAGTTTCTTTGGCCTTTTCTTCTCCTGCCTGGGATCCTATCTGGGAAAGGGAAGAACCAGAAAGGAAAGAAAGTTAATTATCCCCTGAGTTCACACAGTGTGCCAAGACCCGGATGATGTGCCTTTCATAACAGTATCTCATTAAATCCTGGGACCAACTGTGTAGCATAGGTATTACTTCAATTTAAAGATTCAAGGGAGGTTCAGAGAGCTTAAGTAACTTGTGCAGAGCACACAGCAAGCATGGCAGAATAATGCTTTAAAGCCCAGCAGTTGCATCCAGTCTGGCTTCATTAAACCTCAGCTACCCCACACATCTTTCATCACAAAGACAGTCAGAAGGCAGGGGAGAGCAGCAGGCCCTCAGAAGCTCCCAGGATTGAAACTGTTTATCAGTACGAACTGTTTATCAGTACCTCGGCAGGCAGCCCAGCACCCCAGCACCAGCTGGGCTCTGAAGGGCCGAAGCCACCAGGCCATTCCAAGCTGCAATTCCAGACGACAATGAGCGCAGTGTGGCACCAGCTCCTGCAGGGCTCCCACGCACACAGGCAGGACCAGGTCACTCGGAGTGGTGCAATGTGGCCGAGGGGTGCAGGCTTTGCAGGGTCTCAGCCAAAAGGATCTGAATTAAAAAGCTTTAGAGTCATGGTGGGGGCGAGGGGAGGAAGGGGTGCCAATATTCTAAGTGCCAAAAGTATTGAAGACTACAGCAACATTATCATCCATCTGTGTCCAAGTTCTGTATGGACCTTGAAAGCATTGACTTCTGAGCATTTCTAAACCTGCCCATGCCCAGGGCTGAGGAATAGGCTCCTGACACCTGGCATTCACACCATGTGCTGCCCCTTGAGCCTTCCCCCAAAAAGCCGTAAAAGCCAGCCAGGAGCCCCCGAGAGAGGGAGTCTTGGCTACCACACAGACTCTCACAGAAAGGGAGAGAGAAATAAACTCCCGCTCCCTCTCCCAGTCAGCTGCAGTGTACGGTGTACGCAGAATTCTTTGACCTCCAAGCTTCGGGTTCTGCACAGTCATATATACATCAGAGGGTTAGAAACAGACAATGTAAGGCACATGTCAGCACCTGCCATCTTGCAGGGGCTCATTAAGTACCTAGCATCACTACTATTCACAATTTTAAAAAGAATCAACAAAGTGCCATCGCTTCACCCCCTTAAATTCCTGTCTGGAATTAAGCTGGACTACTCAGGCTGATGTAGTCAGTGTGGGGTCCTGAGAGCAAAGCCGCAGAGGTACAGATGTTGGCTGCAGCCCTGCGTAGGGTGGCTTAGCAGTCGGTAAGCGCGTGAACACGGTCACACTGTAGGAACAGGACTGATGCTGGGAGTCGGGATAGCACATCTTTCTTTAGGAAGGCAAACCACAAAGGGCAAATCACCATGTCCAAGTTCATACTCATGCATGGCTCCCAGAGCAGGACTTCACACACTTACCCCACAGGGGAGAAAAATCAGGAGGCCATTCTGATCCACAGCAAGTATGGGGCCTTGGGGTCAGAGCAGGCAGCCCTTGCCTAATGGGAGGACTGAGTGAGGAATCTTAATTAAAAGAGATGCATAGGAGATGAGCTCTGATATTATCTTCCAGCTAATAAGAAGAGTTAGCTCATGGAAAAAGATACAATCCCCTAAGTTTTTCATATGGATTTCTGCACTGTTACTACTAGGGGGAAAAGCTTTGCCACTACACAATTAAAAGAGATCAAGGGAAAGTGCAGGACATGCTGAAGAAAAGGAATAATCAAAGACACAAAGGAAAAGGAAAAGGCTAGCAGGGATACTGAAGAAATGGACTGGCCTACTTGCCAGTCCAACAAAATACTTAAAAGGGATCAATTCTGCCTTACTATGGCTCACAGGGCCCTGCAGGATCTGGCCTTAACAGCTACCACCAGCTCTCATCTCCTACCACCTGCCCCCTTGCTCCCTGTGTTAGAGACTCACTAGCCTTTCAATGCCCTGATCAAAGCAAGCAAGCTTCAACCCCAGGGCCTTTGCATGTCCTATTCTCCCTGCCCAAAACAGTCTTGCTCCAAATAGAATTTGATCCTATACTTCCTTTATATCTACTCAAATTTTACCTGCCCACAGAAAGCTTTTTCTATCATACCATGTGTTAGCAGCAAAATAAAAAGGGGAGCATGGATCAATTCAGACAGCATATGGCTGCTCACCACAGGGATCTACCCCACACTGCCTACTGTGAATGCAAGGACAGAAAACAAGGCACATGTCCAAGGGCCACCTCAGCAGTTTAATGGTTGATATCTGATAAAAGCCAGAAATGAACCAAGGGCACCTTCTAAGTGTCACCCAGCTGCCCAGCAGCTGTCCTATAACATGTGATTTCCAACACTCAGGTGTTTGTTTGGCTGCTGGAAGAAGGAGGTTATCTGCCCAGCTTCTATGAGAGACCTAAGAGCCAGGGCAGCTTTGAGAAGGGCACTCTGGCCTCAGGGGTCCTTGTCTTCTGATACCTGAGCTGGAAAGGCTCTTGACCTCTGAGTTCACCCAAGGAGAGCGAGCATGGCCCTCCTGTCCTCAGGAAGGAGTTCAGGGCAGGTACCCTGGAGAAGGGGGAAGTGGCAGCAGAGGTACAGCTGGGCCTGGAGCTGGCCTGTGATGTGGGAAGGGGCAAAGATGACCACCATAGGCTGTGCAGACCCTGCTACCGGATGCCCCAGAGCAGAAGGGCAAGCTCAGCAGCCCCCTTCTCGACCCATCAGCCACTTCCTTCCTGGGCCCCCATAGAAGATGGACAGGCTTTTCCCTGCTAAAGAGGCAAGAATCAATTAACCTACACAACTGCACCTTTTTCCAGGAAGCCTTCCTGGTGCACTAGAGACAGACATCAGCATCACAGCCCCAGATCCAGGTGAGCTCCCGGGAAGAGCTCCAGCTGCTGAATCCATGCAACTGGGACAGGTCCTAATGAATTAACCTCCGTGGAGCTCAGTTTCCTCAGCTCTCAAGGAATAATGCTATTTTGAGAGTTAAATGAGATAATATTTGAAAAATACTCAGCACAGGAGGCACCGAGAAGGCATTTAAAGAAAAAGGCTTAATTCACGCAAATGATTCCAAGGACTTAAAAAAGGAAATTCCAAAAATAGAACTTGAACCTAATTATCAAAGCTTTCTAGAAAGATGCTAATTGTGGAAATCACTTAAACCCTATTTAATACAAGAAAAAAGACATTTCCATAATAACTTCTGATTTTAGTGATTCCCATCATCTCTGCTGAAGAAATTGATAATGGTTCTTTATTCTCAAACAACTTCTTAATATTTAACAAAAAGGCTGCGGAGTCCGAATGCCAGCGTGGGTGCCTAACACTAGCACTTTCAAGCTGTGTGACTCTGAGATCAAAGTTTCCTGACCTCCCAGGACCTCAGAATCTTCATCTATAAAATGAAGATAATAGTTGTACTTACTTTACTTTGCAGGGCTTTGAGAGGGTTAAACAGAGTGATATTGTCACTGTTCTTATTCTTAGTATCACTGTTTTGATCATTAACACAACTTTCTGCGATGCTAGAATGGCAAAGCTTTCTGCTCTGTGCAATGCTTGTGTGTGTGTGTGTGTGTGTTGTCGGGGGATGTAAACGGACAACACAGGAGCATTTTGCACAGTTCCTGGCATAGAAGTGGAAGCGATTGCAAGCGACCAGGGCATCTTAGGATGCTGCCCTCAGGGATATCAGCAATATGATTCTGCTTTAAAAAAAAAAAGGGCTGGAACCAAATTTTCTACACGCAAACCAGTAAAGCACATGAAATTCTTATGAAAGTATGAATAATGTGACAGGGTCACCTCAATAATTAGTAAGAGATATAAATCACAACTGGGGATTTACAGCCAACAGTAACTTTAAGAGTATATCATGGCATAAAATAGATACGTACAGATGACTGAGAGGGGAAATCTCCATGCAAATGCCTGCTATGTGTGAGGAAATGCTACTTGTAAGGACAGAATGTTGACGATGTGGAGGTTTCTAAAAGTCCCAGTGAGTCAAAGTGAGGTGGTCCCACCCACAGAGCAGGACGGCCAGGCAGAGACTGGACCTTCTGATCCCCAACAGGTACTTCTTTGAGAAGCCCAGGGTTTCAGATGTTCCCCTTGGTGCCTCGGCTGACGGAGTGAAAGGGCAAGCCAGAAAAGGGCATTCTAGGGTCTTGGCACCAACATTCTCTTTTCGCTCTCTGGACGAGCAGATCTGACAAAGCAAGCATCCCAGGCACCTGGTGAAGATGAGACCCAGACCACTTTCTACCATCCATTAAGAAAAAGGAGGGGGGGGCATGTGCAGGAAGGAGTTGTTTTGTTATCAACCAACCTCAAAACATCTTGGCAACCTCAAGATTAAGATGAGCTGATAGAGGCTTTGGATCTGCGCAGCGGGAGCACGTGGCTCCTTCCAGAGCCCTTGCCGCTCACACCTCTGCTTACAGCAAACGGTGCCGACCTGGAGCGCCCTATGGCCGGTGGCCCTCTGCTATTCCCTTGCTCACTGGGCACTGAGGGTGCAGCCCAGCCAACTCCTTAAAGAACAAGGTGCTATTACAGCTCCTTGGGATACCAGATGGCATCTAACTGCAGAGCAAATTCCAGTTCTTTCTAGGCCCCAACTGACTGGCTTTGAGGCTGTTAACATTTTTTGCCCATATTCAGTAAAATCAGGGCAGGGCTGAAAGGTCATGTACGGTGGCCGTGGGAGTGGAGGCTGGAAATCCCCCCATCCGTCCCATATTAGTGAATTCCCCATCTCTCTGCTCGATCATCCATTCACTTGCCAAACATTTACCAAACACTCCTGTGTTCTCAGCCCTGAACTGGGAGCTGTGAATACAAAGATAAGCAAATGCACAGCTTCAACAATATGTTATTTAAAGAGCGGGAATGGTTTATCCTCGACTCGGTGAGGGCACGCCCTGAATGTGTGCTTGAGAAAAGGGACATGGGCGTCCCTCCTCTCACTGAGTGTCCTCATGCACTCTCTCCTCAATATGCATATCTCACTGCTGCTTAGTGTGGTTTCCATCTAAGCATTTTTCACACAGCATGACCCCTGAAAGCAAAGCCGCAGAGATGCTTTTTTTTAGGCCACTGAGGAATGTCCAGGGCTAATATCCCACCCACACACAATGCTGGAGTCCCAGGCGGCTTTCCTAAGGCAACCACACTCAGGCACCCATCTTACTTTAGGGTTTTGCATTATAACAGGGTCAGTTGCAAAGAAGGTCCCAGGAGAAGGGCACCTGACCCAGGCACGGAGGAGCAGGGAAGGTGATGGAAAGGAGGGGGCAGAGGTACCCCACTCAAGCATGAAATCCCAGGTGAGTGCTAGGAGATGACAAGGAGACTGATTGCCAGGCAAAGAAGTCAGGTTCGTATGCTAAGGAAACCGTCTCCCAGAGGCCGGGCCAAAGGACCATTCCTGTTCCCCTCGTGGGTCATCTCTGCAGCCGCTTCTTTCCCCTGTTCAGCAACAAGAGAAAGTCCAGTCCTGACTCTCTGACTGACAGTTGTTGGTATTAAAAGCTTCCGATCCAATACACCAGGTTTCTCTGAGTGGCTTTTAAACCTCAGATGCTAAAAACCCTTCCTGTGTTTAGGTCAGGATCATAAACAACAGAGAAGGGAAGAGCGGCTGGGTGCGTAAAATGCAGGGTAAAGAAAAGTCTTTCGACAAGAAAGAGAAACATCACATCACGGGTCCCATTCAGGCTTCTCCCCATGAACCTCAAACCAGGAACACAGACCTGTGGCTGGTACTCCAAGAAAGACTCTGGCATTTAAATTCTGTCATGTGATGGATTAAACAAACCTGAGGCATATTTTTTAAAAGGTCAAGTGCGAACACTTACCAAAATGAAAATCAATCAGTGAGACCAAGGAAAATAATTCTCTCTGTGACCTGTTCGAGAACAAAAGTTTAGGTTCTGATCTTCCCCAAAAAGGGTCTGGGGGCAACCAAGCAGGCTGAGTGGCTCCTTTGACCAGGACAAGTACCTTCTTCCATCAGCTCCTGGAAGAGAAACGCAGGTCTCAGAGCACAGACTGCTTCCCCTTTTGCAAGGAGCTAGATAGATCAGCTAAGGTCCGCCCTGGAAAGAGACACATCACCTGGCTGGCCAGTGATCCTGGGCATTGGTTGGCTCTCTCCATTGCATTCCTTCCTTCTAAATAATTTGGGCTTCACTGCTTCTGGAGGGAGCCCTGCTAAAAACTTTGGAAGACAACAAGAGGCAGACACTGGATGTCTTTAAACTACTTACTGATTCTACGCAGTTGGGACCCCATCAGCCCTCTCCCAAGAGCTGCTGTTTAAAAAGAGAACTACAACCTGATGTCCAGCAAGGAGCGAATACATCCACACCACAGAATATTACTCAGCAGTAAGAATGAATGTAGTATCATACATGCAACAGTTTGGATGTATCTCCAGGAATTTGTGCTAAGTGAAAGAAAAACGCCCATCTCAAAAGGTTGCATGCTGCAGGATTCCATTTATGTAACATCCTTCAAATCACAACATTACCAAGATGGAAAATGGGTTAGCAGTTGCCTGGGGTAGGACACAGGGGAGGAGGTAGCTATACCAGAGTAGCATGAGGGATCCATGTGATGGAGCTGTTCTGTACCTTGACTGCGGTGGTGGTCACACAGATCTACATTATGTGATGAAACTGCAAAGACTAAATAATGGGGAAATCTGCAGGTGGATTGAATCCATGTCAATTCCCTGACTGCGGTGTCCTTCTACAGTTACATAAGATGCTACCATTGAGGGGGGCTTGACATTTTTCTGTATTATTTCTTACATATGCATTGCACATAAATGTAACTTATCTCAAAGTTAAAAGTTAGAAGAAGGCAGAACAAAAGAGTACATTGAAGGAGGTTCTCTCAGAGACTGCACAGCATCCTGAGCTTATTAAAGAGATCCAGGTGCCATTCCTGGGACTCACTACACCACCGTGGCTGCCACACACATGACTGCAGTCACATAAAACCTCGTCCTGAAGCCTGTAAGACCACCAGTACCTCTTTTCAGATCTTATTAAGAGTTCAACTTCACATCAGAATTCATCAACCACTGCCTGGAACACAGGTTTGACTCAGAGCACCAAAGACCTATCTTGTAAGAGGATTTTCAAAAAGAGAAAATGTATCGTAACTTATATAAACCACACCTACAAAGGAACTCTGTGCATTTGTTGTGACTATGGGCCCTGGGCAGCTGGAACAATTATATGAATCCCATGACTTTCCTTTTCTTTCCTTTGTATTTTTTTCTCCATTTTCAGGCATATTTTCATTTGCAATCTAAACCTTTTTTGTTACATCCACATGCATCATGCTGGGCTCTTATTATATTAAGCATGCCATTCTCTCAAACATATTCATAATTTTCCCCAAGTGTAGTGTAAATTTCAGATCATTAAATAAAATGACTTTATACTATCCTTGTGAATGTTACAACCCTCGCCCTCACCAATGACATCACTATTTCCATAGTAACTAATGTACTTCAGAGTGGAAAATGCAGATGGTGGTTTTAAAGAAAAAAAAAAAGCAAAAAAGTAAGTGGTAGAACCAAGCATATCGCAGTTTAAGTGGTGATGAAGAATGTTTCTATATCCTGGGGTGCCCGCTCAGGAATAAGTGATAAATATTTTAGTGGAACCTTTATGCTAACAGCTATTCTATATAGCAGTTGCCTATCAAATTACACAATTGCCTTTGGAGACGTAGCTACCCAATTCAATGCACGTGGGTAAATGCGTGTGTTCAAAAGCACAAGTCAAGATCACAGGCTGATTTTCAAAACAGAGTTATATACTTTATTTTATAGGTATAGCCTGAGAATAGCTCTTTCAGAAATATCTGAATGCCGGGAAGAAAGAATGCAACTGCTCACAAAAGAGAAATGGAGAAAACGAATAGACAGGAAAAAAGCCTCAATTCTTAATTCCTAAATGTAAGAAAAATAAATGATAAAAATCTCCATGAAATGCAACATTTCTCTCCCTTTAAGCGTAAGGTCCTTTTGATGAAGTGTGGGCACTTTCTCAGTTTCTGCAGATATTTCTCTGTTTGGATATTGGCGAATGAAGATTTTTCTGGTATGAAAATCCATGCTCTGAGCTGTTAGGAAGGCAGCTAGGAAGTGACATTGTGGATGGTTTGACACACAACTAAAGTCTAGTTTTAAAACAGAACAGCATGTTTGATCTGTCCCTGTCAAAATGTCATTCTAAACACTTGACATTTAACATACTCAACAGAAGCTCCGAGAAGTTCCATCACTTAGTGTCTGTGCTGCGGGAGCCGATATTAAGGCCACAAGATGACATCAGGTTCTGCAACACCCAATAAGCTACATTTTTCTGATTTTCTGTGGCTACTCCCGAGGACCAGGAATGCATCTGGAGCTGACTGGATATGCCTACTCCACACCCTGCTTAAGAGCTCACATGCCGGGGTTTCATTGCTGGGATGCTAGATTTTGCCCCATTTCATCAGCACAGTTTTCTGCATTCCAATAAAGCTCTGAGATAGAAGTCCTCGACTTCTCTGGACAGTCACTGTGTGGCAGGCCACCTAGTGCACGGAGGTCAGGGGAGGTGACCCAGGCACACACCTGCTCCCTAACTTCCAGCCAGGTGCTCAGACCAGACCAGGTCTCCCATCTGCCCTGAGGCTCATGGAGCTACTCTCTTCCCAAAACACCCCTGGGCACAGGTCACAGCACTTTTTGCAAAAACCTAAAGTGACTCCTTTTGTCTCTTAGACTGAGTCTAGAATCTAAGGCCTTCCCTTCCCTAGCTGCAACCTCCACCAGGACCACCTTCCTTCCGGGTCTCAAGGGCAGGCCTGTCTGCCACAGCCAGAGGCCTTCTCTCTAGTACCATTTGCTCCTCTTCTCAGAGCATCCTGCCACCCCGCCTCTGCTGTTGACCCTGCTTCTTCTGTGGGATCCACATCAATGTTCTCTTCTTTCCCATCTCCACAAAGGGACTCTTTACATTCAGCCACCCACGCTCACTCTTTCAAGAATCTCAGCCATCACCCTGATACCATTTGCAAAGGTTCTGAGAAAAACACCACAGTGTCAGCTCCTTCAGAGTGGAGATTTCTGGGTGTTTTGATAACGCTGTGTCCTCAACACCAAGAAAGAGTGCCTGGCAAATCGCAGCAGCTCAATAAATGGGTTTTGAATTAACGTGGTGGCGTCACAGAACACAAACATCTTAAATGTTGTAAAAGCAAGAGAGAAGTGAGCAGGGCTTGATTATCAAACTTAGAAATACATACAAGGAGAACTGCCATCTTCATTTCCAGAGGCTTCATGCCAAATTAATTAAAACATGAAATAGTTATTTAAGTGGTTAGGAGACAACATAAAATACAAGGGAAAAGAGGAAAAGATTCTTCCACATCAGAATTAAATTTAATGCCCCAGATCAATAAAAACTATCTTAATGACCAGGAAATAAATCAAGTGATATAAGACATACATAATAGAAAAGGACTTTGGGAAAGTGGTCTGTTGCCATCCAAACACAGAAGGAACTTATGGAAGTGAGGTTTTTCATTCCGTGGTGTTGGATCAGGTCCATGTGGGTCAAATAGCAGGACCCCAAACATATTGGCAAAAGTGAAATATCTATAATTAGTTGTACAGTGTGCATGGGCCAGGAGAAGGAATAGAGGGAAGGCCTTCAATGCTGCCACACAGCCCTCCACCACAAACCTTTTCTGCACTGGGCACCCGAGGGGAGTCCCAGGGGTCATCTGTTAGGTGCTGTGCAAAACACAAGCAGGCCCACCTGACGGGCTGGCTGGAAGTTCTGCAAGTACAGCCACATCTGCCACGGCGGAGCCTTCAGAACCACCTGGTAGGCAGCTGCACCTGTGAGCCCACATGCCTTGCGTTGCCAGGAAGCCAGCCTAAGATCAGTGCCCCACCCGGCACCCCCGCCAGGGGAAGGAGCCAGACACTCAGGCTCCGGGAAGATGGGACGCCCCCCAGGAGTGACCGCTGAAGGTGGGAATGCACTGGGAGACAGCCTCTCATCTGGGGAGCCAACCCACAGATCAGACCACCGCACTAAGAACTCTTCACGATTCCAGAGCAGGGGGCTGCAAACACTTTCTGTCAAGAGACCAGAAAATAAATATTTTAGGCTTTGCGGGCCCTATGGTCTCTGTCACAACCACTCCATAGGCTCTACTGTCATGGCGCAAGAAGCAGCCTGGACTATCATATGTAAATCAACCTGCAAGGCTGCGTTCCAAACTGAATCCACAAAATCAGCCTGAAGGCTGGATTTGGCCAGGGGCTGCCCTTCGCTGGCCCCAGCTTCAGAGCCATGCTCACTGCTCCACATCTGCTCCTGAGTTTTACAAATGTCTCCAAGCAAAAAGAGCCGGAGGACCTGTGCTCAGGGTCCCAAGGAAACGGGCAGCAGTGAGAACAGGGCTGAGATTTATTGAGCATGTGTGCCAGGCACCGTACCACACGACCTTTCACATGTGGTGACTCACTTCACATTCATGAGAACTACTCAGAATTTCGGCAGCACCCTTGTCCACTAAAAGGATGCTAGCAGGGGGCACTTCCCAACTTGAAGGTTGCAAATGTCCCTTTCACGTGGAGACGTCCGGCCGTTGTTAGTCATCTCAACCTGAGGGTCAACCTTAGCCTCACAAATGGGGATCAACATTGTAATATAAAGTACTTCAAAGAATGTCTTACCAGTTATCTAATATAATCAAGGAAAATGTAAATCTAGTCCAGAAAAAGTTAATTTGCAATGTACAGGAAGTACAAAGAGAGGACAAGTTAGATCGAGCCACAAATAATTAGATAAATTCAGAAGGGAACATTCTGTAGAATGTTCTGTATAATGATGAATGACCTCTTCAAAAAGTCGACATAGTAGGGAAAGGTGGGGGTTTTTTCTAGATTAAAGAACACTGAAAATTTACACCCACATTCAAATAGTATATGCACAACAGTTACAGGTAGAAGCAACCCATGTGTCCATCAACGGATGAATGGATAAGCCAAATGCAGTATCTAT